GCCTCTCGCCGCCCCTGCACCTCTGGCCTGTATCCCAGTTCTGTATGTACAAATAAATCTTTAAAAAAAAAAAGTAAAATCTGTTTTTAAAAAAATGTAAAATGTTTTTGTTTTTTTGTGTGATGTCAAGTAATATTTATTTCCAGTGATTCTCAATATGTGATCCTCAGACTAACATCAGCATTATCATATAATTTGTCCAAATTATGTAGACATATTTATTAGTCTTTAAGTGATTCTTAACATAGCTAAGGTTTGAAATCACTGCAATATTCGGCTATGTTCATTTTTATTAAATAGCTATGTTGGCATGGTAATTTGGAGTAATGCTGTTTGGGTGTGAACTTTCTATTACATGTAATAGAAACCCATCTTGCACTAGCTTAATAAGATAAAGGGAATTCTTGGGTTCCCTTAGCAGGGTTGGAAGATTGTTGGAGTAAATGACAGATTAATAGCAATATTATAAGAATCTGGGCCATGAGCTTGGAACTGCTTTTCTTTGCATGGTTTTATCCTGTTTTTAGATTGGATTGCTATGCATCCTTGAGAGGTGGAAAATATGGTGACAGGCAACTGCAGATTCACAGCCTCTGAGATTAGCAATTCCAAAAAGAGCTGCTTTTTACCATTTCACTAAGCCCACCTCCAAACTATTAGGTTCATGGGAATTAAAGTCAATGACTGGCTTAAACTGGGTCACGTTTATCTCCGGGAGGAAGAGTAAAAAAGTGTACAATGAACTGATAATGTATTTTACTAGTTACCTGGTTGCTTTCAACTAGACTTTATCTTTGAAGTAGAGAAATCTTGGAGGCTTAGAAAGGTAGAAAATGGAAGATGCTCAAAAGTGTGTAGTATTATGTTTTTGCATTAGACAGTAGTTAACTACTTCATTCAAGTCTTATGGAGCTGTAAAATTGGATTTTATGTTTTGGGTTTATTTTTATACAGCTTTAGTAAATGTATTATGGAATATGTGGAAAATACAGGGAAATAAAAAAATTCAATTTCTGTCTGTAGGCAGACACATCTTGGTGAATTTTCTATGAACATTTCTTAAATGTTAATTTTGTTTTGATCAGTATTTGTAACTTTCTGTTAAGGTAGTGGAGACAATGTCATTCAATACCACCAAGGTCGCATGTTTATTTAAAACAATTTTTTAATAATATGTTTATTACATCATTTTGTGACTTTTTCCATCTCCGTTGTAATCCCCATGTAAACTCCTTTTTGGGGGGAAGTTTTAGAATTCCCTGTAAAATTGAGGATAGTATATTTCCTATATTTACTCTGTCACTAATGAGCTACAACATCCCTATGGCAGTGATACATTCATAACAATCGATGAATCTCTATATTCTCATGTCATAGTCACTCAGAGCCTGAAGGCTGCATTGCTTTATTTACTCTTTACTGTCTTTTTTGTGAATTTTGTATAATATGTATTCATCCTAACCCCATTCAACAACTGGTATTTTTACTGTCTCTTACCATTTTGCCTTTTATAGAATGTCACATAGTTGGAATCATATAACTTATAGCATTTTCATATTTACATCTTATATTTAGTAATAGACATTTAAGATTCTGCCCTGTCTTTTCATGACTTGATATTTCACTTTTTTTTTTAAAGATTTATTTATTTATGCATACAGAACTGGGGTACAGGCCAGAGGTGCAGGGGCGGCGAGAGGCTTCACCAGAAACAGAGTGGGGAGCAGAACAGGCAGATCAACGAAGTACACTGCTGAGGGGAGCAGCGGGCGGGCCAGGAGAGGTCTGCCTCGCCATGTGGTCTCCTCCGGGGCAGGCGGGAATCGAACTCATGCGGAAGTGGGTTTAGCTTCTCAGTGCTGTGCTTTAGCCCGCTGCGCCACCAGGGAGGGCCGATATTTCACTTTTTTTTAACCATTGAATAACATTCCATTGTCAGAATGTATGATAGTTTATCTACTGAAGGACATGTTACTTACCTTCAGATTTTGGTCATTATAAATGAAAACTGCTATGAAAATCTATGTTCAGATTTTGCATGGACATGTTTTCAGCCACCACCCCCCCAACCAGGAAAATAGCAAGGAATATGATTTACTAACACTGTAGCTTATTTTGCATTCACACCAGCAATGAATGTGAATTGTTAATTTTTATGTTAATTTTTAAATCCTTTAGTACACAAGTTAAAATTTTTTAACATATAGCAGCACTTTAGATATTTTTAATTATAATTTATTTAATCATTCAATTAGTGAACAAAACTGCTTAATCAATTTTTTTGTGTCCTTGATTTGTATCCTTGATTTGTCCTCGTTTGTGACTCCTTCATTTTTTTTTTTTCTTTTTTTTTTTTTTTAAGATTTATTTATTTATTCATACAGAACTGGGGTACAGGCCAGAGATGCGGAGGGTGAGAGGATTCACCAGAGACAGAGTGGGGAGCAGAACAGGCAGATCAACGAAGTACACTGCTGAGGGGAGCAGTGGGCGGGCCAGGAGAGGTCTGCCACGCATGTGGTCACCTCCGGGGCAGGCAGGGATCGAACTCATGCGGAAGTGGCTTTGACTTCTTAGTGCTGTGCTTTAACCCGCTGCGCCACCAGGGAGGGCCGACTCCTTCATTTTTAATCCATTTATCTAAAAACATCTTAGTGGTTTTCTTAATTTCTATGAATTCCTTAAATGAATTATATATTTTTTAGTTTTCTAGTTTGCATTTGTAGTTTTTTTTTTAAAGATTTATTTTATGCATACCGAACTGGGGTACAGGCCAGAGATGCAGGGGCTGTGAGAGGATTCACCAGAAACAGGGTGGAGAGCAGAACGGGCAGATTGATGAAGTACACTGCTGAGGGGAGCAGCGGACGGGTCAGGAGAGGTCTCTCGGGCACTATGTGGCTCACCTCCTGGGCGGGAATCGAACCCATGCTGAAGTGGCTTTAGCTTCTTAGTGCTGTACTTTAACCTCTTGCACCACCAGGTAGAGCCTGCATTTGTAGTTTTTAAACATAAACGTAGATTGTGTATTTAATTCCACCTGGCTTTTTATAGCTTATCATTTTTAAGTTTAGAAATTCTTTTCCCCTTTCAGAGATCCAATAACTTTTCTTTTGTTGTTACTTTCTTTTGTAGATTATAACTCTTTATTAAGAATTTATTTTGCTATGTGATATAAGTGTAATTGTATTATTTTTATGATTAATGTTTTGAATATTTATATAATCTATCTTAAAATGCAGTTTTCAAGCTTCTTTTTAGTAAGCAGTAGTGGTGGTTGACTGAATTTGAGCTTTGAAGATAATGAAAGCTGACAAACTTGTGATAAAATGTTTTAGCAGTAAAAAAAATAACCTCCACATATGCAAATTTTCTCATCAGTTAAATGTTTAGATAACATTTCTGATTAGTTTTCTGTTAGAAGAAAAAAAGTGCTTGCATTTTGGGGAAGTAATATTTTATTCATGAAGAACATTACAGCAGAAGTAAGTTTAAACAGTCAGAAGATTCTAGACTCTTCTGGCAGTCCAGGATTTTGAAAAAAGCCTAGTGCTTTGGCAGGAACACAGAAGAGGAAGTGTCTACATGTGCTACATTCTAGAAGCATTCCCAGTGAATTACTGTAAAGCAGCCAAGAGAACAGTGTTTTTCACTACTGTGTGATTTTGGAAGTATCTGGAAGTCTGCAGCAAACTTGAGGGAGGCAACTTAGGAATAATTCCAGAAAGTCACTGGGTAATAAGATTCAAGTCATGGGATAGTAGGATTATTAAGTTATTTTGGAGAGCAGGGAGCTTTTCAGTTTGGACTTAAACCTGTCTGTTGGTTTAGGGGAAGTTAATTTGGGAAGAATCAGTGACACCTGAACAAGAATGAATAGGTGATAAATTGCTGTTAGTGGGGCAAAATTTTACTATAATGATAACTTACTCTGTAAAGTAATAATTATGATATAAAATCTACATGTGTGGTAGAAGAAAAAAAATATAGGAAGCATTTGGGAGAGATGTGCATAATCTTTCTGCTGGTTTCCAGTTGATAATTGGCTTCTACCAGAAAGAATATCAGAGGATAAAAGGAAAAAGGATTTGTTATTAGATCTAACAACGTGCCACAGCTGTGTACTGGGATTTTTTTTTTTATGTAGAACACGCTAGATAAGAAACTCAGCACTGTCCTTTGAGAGGAATTACTGTTTTAGATTGACAAGGCTATGTATTTTTTTCGAATTACTTAATTATATTAGTTTTAGTAAGAAATAATTCATATACCATACCAGTTTAATGTGCATGGGTTACTGGATTTTAGTACCTTTCAGAGTTCAATCACCAGTCAGTTTTAGCATATTTTTATCACCTACAAATCTACAAATTGAAATTCACATGGGGAAAAGATGAAACAAATTAGGAATTTACAGATTTAATCAGAAAGCTTTGAAATGTTTTTTCTTTTAAAACACTATAAAACCTTTAGACTACATTTTGGAAGTAATTAATTTTAAAAAGTGGTATCTATTTTATGGGAAATTGGTAGTTTAGATTTCCACCATAGAGAAAACAACATTTCAGGCCATGTGATAAACACCAGTTGGGGTTTTAAGCATAAATTATCAGGGGGTAACATCATATGTATTTTTCTTTAATATGAAATACCATATAGGTACTTTAGTTATATGAAAATAAGATCAGTACTTGTTAAATTAACAAGAGTATTACATCAGTTTTCAAGAGTTGCACTAGTTCTGTGGGCTACCTTAGGGTTTGACTTCATATTTTGCTCATAAAATACAGATTAGGGAAAAAAATAGACTAGGAACTTTTTGCTGCCTTTTTTTTTTTTTTTTTTTAAGCAGAAGACGGCATACGAGATGTCGAGCAGTGACTGGAGTTCAGACGTGTGCTCTTCCGATCTGAGACATGGTGTTGCTATTATTGACCGGCAGTTGTTTTTTTTTTTTTTTTTTTTTTTTTTTTTTTGTAATGGCCATGTTTCTCTTGTAGGTGTGTGAATCTGAAAAGTTAAGTTGGTCAAGATGATCTGGTGTATTTTAGTTACAGGGATTCTACTTCCCCAGTCTTGGGCACATCCTGGCTTTTTTACTTCAATTGGTAAGTTTTAACTATTTTTGACTTATGTTTTTACACTTAAGATTTTCTATTTTTAAATGTTTTTAAAAGCAGTAAAAACAAATACAGTTCTTGCCCCTCAAAAAAAATTGCACTGAAATTCAACTTTGTTTTCAATTTTTTCTTTTTACAAAAGCAATAATTCTATTTAGAAATGTGTAAAAACTTAGAAAATATACTGAAGAAAATTCTTCATCATGGGTTCACCTAGAAAATATTTTAGTGCATATCTTAATTTTTTCATTGCACAAATAGTACATTATTTTGTAACCTTATTTTGTAACCTATTTCCATTTAAGAATCTACTATGAACATGAGTTTTACTTTCCTTATGCCATCATTTCTAAAAAACTTTTCAAAATATTGCAATAATAGATTGCCTAAAGGAGGAAAAACAAAACTACATAAAATGTAAGACTTCTGTATGTCCTTTTTACCCCAGAAATATCCCTCATACTTTGGTATGCATTGTTTTATATATTTGTACACACATATTCCTATTATGTTAATTGTTTTCTTTCATCTACTGGACCAGTTTACCCTTCGGTGAAGGTAGAACTAAGTAAAACACAGTATTATAGTTATGATACCTTACAGATAACACGTGATCCTTCTCATCCAATTATAAATAACTGTGTATAGATTCTTTGAACTTCATTTGTGAAGTGTTCTTTTTGTTAAAGTGGTTTTGTTTATTGAATACAAATTAATTTTGATTAGTGTCAAAAACAGGTGAGGGGGAAGGGAAGAACAATATTGATCCATGCTAAACAGTGTTCTGTAATATAAGAATATATTTTTAGATGAAAAGACAATTTGCTAATATACACCAAGCTTGCAAATTCAAGTACTTTGAAAATTAGAATGGGAACACATGATTAGAAACAATTTTTTTTATTTATCTTTATTTAGCTTTATTTTTATTTATCTGGTTATAAAGGTTGCTCTTTCTAACATACTTATGTTAGTTAAATCTTCTCATAGGATGAAGTTTTCTGCATTACCCTTAAATTATTCTAAAGGAATTATGTTGATCAATATGGATATTTGAAAATCTTCCCTTTTAGGTCAGATGACTGATTTGATCCATACTGAGAAAGATCTGGTGACTTCCCTGAAAGACTATATTAAGGCAGAAGAGGAAAAATTAGAACAAATAAAAAAGTAAGCAGAGTGTTTTACTTATGACTCTTAATCCACCAATATACTTTTATTTCTAGTTAAAATGATCTTGAGTAGAAATGAAAGATAGCTGCCAGTCTTACCAAGCTAGCTGAAATGACGAAGAACCACATAAGAGTTAGTCCTAAGCTAGAAGTTTCTAAGTACTGTGTGTAAAATTTTGATGTCAGTTTAAGTGACCATGTAACAGAATTTGGCTAATTTGTAATTTGGTGGTATAAATTATTACCTTTAAGGACCTATGGAGAAATTAATTTTTAGACTCTAACTAGAAAGATTCACTGGCTACTTTCAAATAGAGAGGTTGCATTTGCTGTAGCCATTTGGGAGGGAAAAAACCCAAAAGTCTTGTAGTTATGTTTTGATTCTGCTAAGCTAGATTTTATCCATGAGTCTTGTTTCTTTAAAAAACCTTTGTAATTGTTAAATTTTATCGATCTGCCATATATTTGCAAAACTATGAAAATTTGGTATTACAGCTTCACACCTAAATTTGTGTACATCCTTTACTCACCCTCCACTGAAGGGCAGTGCGCATGTCCTGTCGCTTTACCCCTGGGCTCCTCTCCTCTGCCCTGCCCCAGCCCCTCCCTCTCATCATCCATAGACTCTAAGAATAACTTTTGTTTTGTTTTTCAGTTTGTTTTCTTTGGCTATTATATTTTACAAATGAGTGACTCCCTCTTAAAACTGTCTTTCACTTTCTGAACAAAAATATTTTCTTTTTATTTTTGTAAAAACTGTAGTATTCCATTGAGTACATAAACACACAATTTCTTTATCCAGTCATCTGTTGATGCACATATAGGTTGATTCTATGTTTTGGCTATTGTGATTTAAAAGCCTTTATTATTTTACTTAAAAATTTATAATTTTACATGAAGCTTTAAGTCAAAACCTCTTTTTTTTAATACTTTGCTCAGTTGTTTATTTTCTGTATTAAGTGTTTACTTCATCTGTATGTCTTGCATGTATAGATGGGCAGAGAAATTAGATCGACTAACAAGTACAGCAACAAAAGATCCAGAAGGGTTTGTTGGGCACCCTGTAAATGCATTCAAGTTAATGAAACGTCTGAACACTGAGTGGAGTGAGTTGGAGAATTTGGTCCTTAAGGATATGTCAGATGGTAAGTAAAATACCGGTAGGCTAATATGTCTCTCCCTTCCCCCCCAAAAGAGCAACATTGCTACCAACTATGGAAATGCCATAATTAATGATATATACACTTCTCAGAATATCAGTGTTAAAGTGTTCTAACTCAGTTATTGCTGGGTTTTTTTTGGTGAATTTAGTCTACATCCTGAATTTGATTAAAAAATGCATAAAAACTGGAAACAAAATAGACTTTACTATAAGGAAAGTAATTTTCTGTTGCTGGTGATTTTAACAGTGGTGCTTTTTAATTTTGAAATCTACAGAAATGATTTGGCATATAGCCTCACTTCTGAAGGTATATATTTTCATTTTGGGATTACCCTCAGGCCTTAAAAACTTTGGGTAAATATTTTTGAATCAATTTTTAAGGTATTGCTTGTTAATACTATTAGGAAAAGTGTTAGCTATGCTCTACACTGTATTTTGAGTAGATTAAATTTAAAAACAGATTATAAAAAGTTAAGTGAATGTTTTTCAAATTGAGAGTATAAAGTTGTACTTGGAGTATTGAGTTGTTTTAGGTGTTTTAGTAACAGACATAGAAAACAGCCTGGAGTTATAAGTAATGGGGGTATACTTAATACATAGCAGTGGTTCACATGCATATTGAATGATGATGCAAGGTGGCAAAAAAAAAAGAGGGAACAGAACCATTTGTGAAGGTGAAATTTCCAAAGGGTGCTTACAAATTGTTAAGGAGCAGTAAAGTAAACTATTTTGCATAGGACAAGAAACTTTCAAAAGAAAATTAAGGCAAATACTTGAATGCTTATTCATGATGAGTGGGAAATACTAGTGTATTTGCTCTCTATAATGTGAGAACATCTTTATGATTATGTATGTATGTATGTGTGTGTACACACATACATTTGTTTTTTCTCAAGTAATGACCCATATGACACTGGTATTTTAATTTGTGTTAGTCACCCCATATGTTATAATACACATGCACACTTTTTTTTTAAGTGACAATTTAAACAGCTTCCTTGATTTTATTTTGGGGCATATAAAACATTTCCATTTTCTGTAAAACTTGGTTGTAAAATTCCATGTGGCTATTATGATTGAGAGTTGGTAATACAATTGGGAAAAAAAAATAAGAATGTTAGCCCTTTTCCAGCTGGTTGTTCATTTGTACATTTCCATTAACATAAAATGCTTGGTCTTTTGCTGACCAAAATACAGTTGTTTATAGTAGATTTATAATCTACTTGTTCATAGTAATAATCTATACTGTGGGGGGGGAGAACATGAGAGAGGGGAAGAGTCTCAAAATTGTTTTATTGCAAATTATGATATACATATTACTAAAAATTGTTTTGTCGTTTTGGCTTCTTTAGTATTGAGCATCCATCTTAGAGTTTTGCTATTTTATATAAAACTTTAAGATGAAGTTTTACATAGAACAAGTCTTGACTGATGAACACTATATTTAATAATTAAACATATCTAAATGTATTTTATTTTTTAAAGATGCATACAGAGCTGGGGTACACGTCAGAGGTGCAGGGGCAGTGAAAAGATTCACCAATGACAGAGTGGGAAGCAGAATAGGCAGATTGATGAAGTACACTGCTGGGGCGGGGGGCGTAGCAGGAAGACAGAGGTCTGCTGTGCCATATAGCTGGGGATTGAACTCAGGCTGCAGTGGTTGTGGATAGCTTCATAGCTTCATAGTGCTGTGCTTTAACCCATTGGGCTACCAGGGAGGGCCCAGAACAAATCTAAATTTTTTTTTTTAATGTTAGCATTATTAGTTTTCAAAAAAAAAAATTATTTATGCATACAGAACTGGGGTACAGGCCAGAGGTGCAGGGGCGGTGTGAGGCTTCACCAGAGACAGTGGAGAGCACAACAGGCAGATGGCTGAAGTACACTGCTGAGGGGAGAAGTGGGCCAAACAGGAGAAGTCTGTTGCACCATGTGGTCACCTCCAGAGCCCGAATTCGCACCGAAGGGTCTGCGGATCACTTGCAGTGCTGGCTTTAATCGGCTGCACCACTAGGGAGGACTTCTAAGTGTATTTTAATAAACTGCCTTACCCATGATTTTAAGTATATAATTAGTATCATTTCTTTTCCCTTGAAAAATTTCACCAAATTATATAATGTGTAGCAGATGGAAAGAGAAAACAGAATTTTAAGATGTTTCAGTAACATTTATTTGAAAATATGACTAGTTGCCATTGAATGTTAATGCATTTTTCACTAAAATTGTGTAACTAAAATCTGTAATGTTAGTTGACCTTTACTAATGTGGACATAAATTATGTAATTACTTAAGCTACATTAGAAAGAGATTTTGCTGGATTTAATGAATTAGAGGTATGTCAAACCTCAATAACTCTCAAAGAGATTTGACATACCTCTTAATTTTTCCTTACGCATGTGGAACTTTCATGATAGGGAAGTTAATGGGGAAAAATTGAAAAATTCTTTTAAAGACTTTATATTGGAAATTAAAAGTCTATAAGATTTTAAAGTTGTTTTTTTTTGTTTGTTTGTTTCAAGGTTTTATCTCTAACCTAACTATTCAGAGACAGTATTTCCCTAATGATGAAGATCAGGTTGGAGCAGCCAAAGCTCTATTACGTCTCCAGGACACCTATAATTTGGATACCGATACCATCTCAAAGGGTAATCTTCCAGGTAAGATTTATTTTTCTTTTTGATAAAATACCCATCACCTGGCTTACTTCTTCAGTTTATTAGGACAGTGTTAATGTAAAAAATACATTTGTTTGTATTTTAAGTTTTTTAACTTTACCTCATAGCCTTTGAGGACAAAAAAATCTTTTGCTAGAACTTAATAGCTGTGGATAACACCCAATGTTTGTATACAGAATTATAAGGGGGTTGCTAAATTTTACATGTTTATTAATTTACGAACCAAGGCATGTTGGGTATGTAACTTATCTTAGCCAACCTTAAATGTAAAGTTTACTGGCATTAAGTACATTCATGTTGTTGTGCAACCATAAACACTGTCCATCTCCATAGCTCTTCTTATCCTTTAAAACTATAACTCTATACCCAATAAATAGTAACACACCATTCCCTACTTTGCCCATCCCCTGGCAACCAACATTTTAATTTCAGTGTCTGTGATTTTTGACTAAGTACCCTATAAGTTGAATCATACAGAATTCACCTTTTTGTGACTAATTTCTATCACTTAGCATAATGTCTTCAGGATCATGTACGTTGTAGAATGTCAGAATGTCATTGAAGACTTAATGATAATCCACAATGATAATCCACAATGTGTATATAACACATCCATTCATCTGTTACTAGACATTGGGGTTGTTTCCACATTTTAGCTGTTGTGAATAGTGCTCTGTCAATATGGGTGGACAGATAACTCTTGTATACCTACCTTTCATTCTTTGGGCATATTCACAAGTAGATTTGGTGAATCATGTGATTTTTTTTTTGCCTAGAACCCATTTTTTTTATAATAGTTTATTTTTACATCATTTTGTATGGTTATTTATATTTTTAAGTTTTTGAGGAACTGTAATCCTGTTTTCTATAGCAGCTGTACCATTTTAAATTTCTACAAGTAGTGCACAAGGGTTCTAATTTCTCCACATCATAACATCATGTTTTTTTTGAGAGTAGCCATCCTAATGGGATGAGGTACTTACTTAGCACCTACTTAAGTTAGCAATGTGAAGCATCTTATCATGTGTTTGTGGCCTTCTGTATATCACTTACGATGGTTTCCTGCTTATTTCCCTTCATTTGGAATGAAGTATCAACTGAGAATACTGACCAGAATGTTAAATAGAATTTTCATTAACTTGGAACATTTTTCTGTAACAGTAGACTTCCAGAATGTACAAATTTATGTTTGTTTTCTGTTTCTGCTACTATTATTCTATACTTGCAATACTATTATACCCTTACTGTAAAAAATTGGATTCTAGTTTACAAGATCATTTTGTTTAATATATATTAACTGTTTGATATATGCTAACCATATGTTAAGCACTAGAGATGTAATAATGAGTAAACCATCACTGTTCTCGTCCTTTTGCTACTTACTTTCTTATGATATAGTAAGGATACCTGAACAGGGAAAATTTAGGATACAATAGGAGTACATAGAAGGAGATTTAATTCTGGACTTGATAAGAGGCCTATAAGGACTTCTTAGTAGACATGGCATTTAAAAAACTGATACAGTGAATAAGGAATAAGCCAGGAAAATGCAGCAGAGCAGGGGGAAGCGTAGAGAATATTTTGGTGAGGGATATAACAAGTTATTTGTTCAAGAGATAGGAGTGCATGTGGGTATAGGTTGGAGTTTGGTTCCGTGAGATTAGTGAGAGATCAAGATAGCTGTGTAAGCAGAAACCATCCCTTTAAGGGCTTTGTAAAGCCATGAAGAAGAGTTTGAGCTGTTCTGATACAATAATCATTAAAAGGGAAGAGACATGATTTTCATTTTGGAAATATCATTCTTGTTACATAATGGCAATTTTATTAGAACTTGGGATAGGAATAGCAAAACTCGGAGGAGGATTTTGTAAATTTTAAGTAGGAAATGATGTTTAAGATGTACAATGGTAGAGTTTGATGATGGTTTGAGATGGATTCCTGCTAAAACAACCAGAAAGGTTCCATTTAATAAAATAGAGACCACAAAAGAAGTGTTGTTTGGTGCATGTAGGAATAGTTAATTCATTTAGTTTACTAAATTTCTGTTAGAGACATTTTTATCTTTCCATCAATAGTAAATAGGATTTTAACTATGAATTCACTGTGTTCAATCTTAGAGAATGTGTAATTTTTTCACTGGGGCAGTATTGTGTGAAATTTTCTGAGCATATTATGTCCTGTAAGTTGTAAAAATAACCATGAAGTGAACAAATATTTAGGTTTTGTTTTTCTTTGACTGTTTTTAACAGTCAAAAATCACAAGTGTGTTTGGAAGCCTTGCCCTTGTGTACCTTTTCTTCTATCCAGAAATTAATTTCTATCAAGAATGAGGTGTATGCTTTCACTAACACTGAAATATACACATTTTATTCCTATAATATACTCTTTCTGCAGCTTTTTCCTACAGCTTTTTCCTTCCATATTTTTGAGTAAATTTCACCCATGTTGATCGGATTCATTTAAACTGCTGTATGATACTGTGTGTCACAATTGATTAACTCATTCTTTTGTGACTGGATAGGTTATTTCCACTTTTTTGTATGTCAAATAGGACTTCAGTGCACATTTCTTGTTTGTTCTTGTGTCAGTGAATTCATATGTAGGAGTTTCTTTCAGGTTTAAAATCTCAGGATATACTTTTCAACTTTTCTGTGCTTCAAAGTATAGCATTAAATAAAGAGGCATCCCACAGAATGGGGTTTGTATCCAGAATATAGAGAACTCTAATAATCAATAAGGAAATTACAAATAGGTTTTAGATAGGTAAAGAAATTGTACAGACATTTTTTGATAAGGCATTCATGGACAGTTAAGCCCATGATAATATTGCTAAACACCATCATATGGAAAAAGCAATCAAAAGTACAATAAAATTCTACTCGGTACTCACCTGAATGATCAATAAAAATGATAAAAAGTAGTGGTAAGTAAGTGGAGAAACTGGAATCATTATACATTGCTGGTCGGCTTATAAAGTGACCACTTTTTCTGTAGGACCCTGTAATTCTACTGGTACATATATCCTCAAGAATATTGAATATGTCTACAGAAACTTGTACAAAATGTTCATAGCACTTTCCATAAAAGCCAAAAAGGTTGAAACAACTCAAATGTTCATCAATTGATGAACAAAATTGGGCAGTAAAAAGGAGGCCCCAACTGGGATGGTAGTTGAAAACGTTTATTGAGAGGCTAGTCACAAGAGTTCACATATCATAATTTCCATTTGAGTAAAAGAACCAGAAAAGCAAATCTGTAGATGAAAATCTTGTCAAAATAGATTATGGTAATGGTTGCATAATTCAACATACTGAAGAATATTGAACTGGGTAAACTTTTTGATTTGTATATCATTAATGCTATTGGAAAGAGTAAGGGAATCAATTAAGGGAATCAATAACATTTTTGCCTAGATTATTAGGAATAAGATGCAATTATACATTCCTTAATGGCATTTTAGTCAAATTGGACTGTGTCTTGACAATGATCCCAGTAGGCTATATACTTGAAGTATAGTATACTACATCATCCAAATTTCTGTAATTGCACTCTGGCGTGCACATAACAATTGTCTGACATTGTGTTTTTCAGAACTTACTTCTGTTAAGTATGTGTGACTATCTCATACAGTGATTCTTGTTAGAAAATAGCATGTTACAACTTAATGTTTCCTTTTGGTATGATGGCTGATAGTCTTGGGCGACCTATTATCAGCTGTTTGATTCTTGTTATGTTACATTACTTTGTAAATGTAGGATAATTCTGGCTTTGCTTACCTCAGAAGGTTGTTGTAAAGTTCACATGCATGTGAAAAAACTGAAAGCTCAGTAGGTCCTAAATAACCATAATATAAAGATTGTTAAAAGTTCTCTCCATTTTCTTTTCATAGGAGTAAAACATAAATCTTTTCTAACTGCCGAGGACTGTTTTGAGTTAGGCAAAGTAGCCTATACAGAAGCAGATTATTACCATACAGAACTGTGGATGGAACAAGCATTACGGCAGCTGGATGAAGGGGAGGTTTCTACCATTGATAAAGTCTCTGTTCTAGATTATTTGAGCTATGCTGTATATCAACAAGGAGACCTGGATAAAGCCCTTTCCCTCACCAAGAAACTGCTTGAACTAGGTATGTTTACTAAACCTAATTAATTCAAGGTTGTAGATACACTGGGTAATTACTGTGTGTGTAGTCATAGAGCTTTTGTACTTGTTAGACATGTTACTTTTTAAAATCACTTTCTGTGTGTTTGTAGAACTGGTATGTTTATAGGCCAGTGTTGCGGGGGGTGAAAGGATTTATCAGACAGTGGAAGCAGAAAGGTGAATTTACTGAAGTACACTGCTAAAGATAGTGGGTGACACAGGACAGGTCTGTCTGTGCATATGTGGCTTAGCAACCTGGCCAGGAAGTGAACTCAGGCTGTTATCTTTGTTTTCTATCATTTATGTAAGTGGCAACTGATTTTTCGTACCAGAGCCACTCCATTAAATGACACTCATTTTTCGGTGTCTGTTCCTTTTCTTTTTATTCACTTTTATGATATTGTTCCTAACTCATCACTCAAATGTTTATTTCCCATGTTGCCATAATAAAATTGATCTATTTCCATTGAAGGGTATTTTTGGTTTATCGTACCTCATTAAAAATGGTAATTTGAGGCCCTCCCTGGTGGTGCAGTGGGTTAAAGCACAGCACTGAGAAGCTAAAGCCACTTCCGCATGAGTTCGATTCCCGCCTGCCCCGGAGGTGACCACATTGGCGTGGCAGACCTCTCCTGACCCGCCCGCTGCTCCCCTCAGCAGTGTACTTTGTCGATCTGCCTGTTCTGCTCCCCACTCTGTCTCTGGTGAAGCCTCTCATCGCCCTTGAGCCTCTGGCCTGTACCCCAGTTCTGTATGTACAAAAAAAAAATGGTAATTTTAAATAGATTGAAAACATTTGTCATATTAAACTGTCAGAGGAAGAGCAGTATGAGGATTTTACCTCTAGTATTTTGAATAGATGGTAGTGTTTTTCTATAGTTCAGAGACCCCATTTGTAGCCGTATATGTATATTGTATATGTATTAGAAATAAAAATTACCTGATCTTCCTTTCAGTCTATAAATGAGAATCTTTCGAGGTAGAGTTGTGTACTAATAAAATCAGGTAGCCTTTAATTTATGTGAACCTTTAAAACTAAATCATGACTAAGTAAATGTCTATATGGTAGAAGACCATATCTAAAAATGATATTTTGATAATAGTGAATTGAAACACTATCATTGACAACTGGTAATTAAGTTAAAGTATAGACAGTAGTGTTTTTCTCATTTAAAAATATTTGTACCCACTTAAACTTGTACATGTATTTTTATCTATAAGGCAGTCATCCAAAGGTAACCATAAATTTTTTGTTTACTTCAAGTATACATCCACTAGTACCTATACTTTTTATTTTTAACAAAATTAGGCTTATATATTGCAACATATATTGTGAACAGTTCCTCGAAGACAAATATTTTATAAAAGTAAAACTAGAATTTAGAATTTTTTGGTACTGGTGTGCCATTTTAAATTTGTGTGTGTATATGTGGGTTGTCTGGATATTTTTTTCTCCCTGATGGGAGGAGTAGTATCTTTTCCTTTGCTAAAATAGCTAAAAATTATGACTAGCAATTTAGAGGTAGTTAGTGGATACTGGCTGATTTGAAAATTGTATCTTTAGATTCTCTCTTCCTCCTCACTTGAAATTTAGTGACTAAAATTTACTCAGCCTTAAGAAGTAAGGCTGTATTCTACATTTATAATGTATCTGTGGTAAAGATTTCCTTTGAACTGTGTACCCTCTCTTCCCTATGATACTTTCAGTCTCACAAAAATCTTTTCATTGCTTAAAATAAGTAAAAAGAAATGTTTTAAGAATGTGTTACACATCAAATCAATCATAGTACCTTTGGTAGTGAATACTCAAAGTATAAGCAATTAATTCCTAAATTGAAATAAATGGTTGTTTCTGTTCTTTAGAACTCATTTTCTACAGGGTGACTTTCCTGATTTATTTCAGGTAGTACTGGTTGGTTTGTTCTGGTACAATTTTTTTTTTTTTTTTAAAGATTTATTTGTGCATACAGAACTGGGGTACAGGCCAGAGGCTCAGGGGTGGTGAGAGGCTTCACCAGAGACAGAACGGGGAACAGAACAGGCAGATCTACGAAGTACACTGCTGAGGGGAGCAGCGGGCGGGTCAGGAGAGGTCTGCCACGCCATGTGGTCACCTCCGGGGCAGGCGGGAATCGAACTCATGCGGAAGTGGTTTTAGATTCTCAGTGCTGTGTTTTAACCCGCTGCACCACCAGGGAGGGCCCCTGGTACAATTTTTTTTTGTTTGTTTTGTTTTGTTTTTTTATGGTACAATTTTTTTAGTTTTTTTCTCTCAAAAACATCCTGCTTAGATAAGATCATATGATACCCTATTGCTATATATTGCATTCGGATTCTATATATTGCATTCGGATTCTTGAGTCACTGTAAACTTAATCATGGACATGCTTTTTCTTCTAATAGATCCTGAACATCAGAGAGCTAATGGTAACTTAAAATATTTTGAGTATATAATGGCTAAAGAAAAAGATGACAATAAGTCTGCTTCAGATGATCAGTCTCACCAGAAAATCACATCAAAGAAAAAAGGGGTTGCTGTGGACTACCTACCAGAGAGACAGAAGTACGAAATGCTGTGCCGTGGGGAGGGTATCAAAATGGTAAAGTGGAAAAGCCAATTGCATGTGTGCGTACGTGTGTGTACTAACATACCACTTGCAGTAATACCCTTTTTACAGATTCAAAGTAGTTTTAAAGGGAAAAGGTCAGATAGTTAAAGTGTAGAAATCAGTGCATTCATCTATTACAATAACCTTGACAAGATTAATTAGTGTGAAATGTTTGTCTATTTAAGAAATACTAAAAATATATCAAGAATTAACAAGTTTTGATATTTGTTAAAATACTCAAATGTGTTGTATTGTTCCATTTTATTTATAAGTCAGTATCAGTGCTTAGGGCTGTCAGTAGGGCAGAACCAAAATAGTTAAGTCTGAAGAATTAAAGCCTTAGGACTTTTCAGAGCCTTTTTAATGATAATGTGTATTATAGGGTATGATATACATTGTTTCCCAACATTGATAGAACCTTGGAACCTTTTATAAAAAATACCATATAGTACTACCATTTAGTCGGAAGGAGCTAGTGAATTGAAATAAACCCTTTTAAAGTTTAAACATTTGAATAGTGTATGTATAACTTTATACCATCAAGTGATGACAAGTGTTGAGACTAACCCAACAGCAAATGTAGACTGTATCGATGGTGACACTTGATACATGCTTACGTTTGAGAGTTTGAGTAATTATAAGGGTTGTAACTCTTTTAGGGTCATAAAACTAAATATTCATTCTAGTATATATCTTTTGGTGATAAAAGTAACTACATTACCATTATCACACCTAAAAACACTTAGAGTAGTTCGTAACAATTCTATAAAATCCAGTAGTGTTCACATTTCCAATAGTAAGCTGAGCTTTTAGATTGTTAATAAATCTACCAGTTCATTGATAGCACACATAACAACTCTACCGAGACTGAAATAACTATTCCAGAGAAAAGGATGTTAAGTTTTAATTAAATAATGAATTTAACTAATACTTTGTATATTACACATGTTTAATCAAGACAGAAGTTAGCAATGGAGTAACTTAATACAATAATGATGAAAGGAACTTTTATTTTGTTGATTTACATATTGTTAGTACCCCGTAATAAAAAAGTACTTGGCTTCTTTTTAAATAACTTACTTTCTAACCTGCTCTTTTAAAAAATCCTTGATCAATCTTTGGGGGGTAAGGGGCCAAAGTACTTAATTTGGAGGTATTCAGGAAAACCTGGTTAGGTTTTATTTTGACTTGTTTTACCTTTATATAACTCTCTCTCCCAGGGTTTTTCCAGAACCGAGATTTGGAGCAATATCACTCATTTTTTTCATTCATAATTATTGTTGAAAGAAATGTTGAGAAACCTTAAGGTCTCTAATTTCTTGCAGGAAAAGTCATTAATCTTAAAATTCTCCTGGTCTATTTGAAGCAAAATATTTGCACAGTACTGGTTCTTTTTGTATACAGAAGCATGATTGTTATCTGTACAGGTAATATATTTACTTTAATATCTTAATCTTTTTAGACCCCTCGGAGACAGAAAAAACTCTTTTGCCGCTACCATGATGGAAACCGGAATCCTAAATTTATCCTGGCTCCAGCCAAACAAGAGGATGAGTGGGACAAGCCTCGTATTATTCGTTTCCATGATATTATTTCTGATGCCGAAATTGAAATTGTCAAAGATCTAGCAAAACCAAGGGTAAATAACTTTTTTTCAATTTACTCTATCAGTTTTTCTTTTACAACCTTACAGAAATGATAATTGATAGGGCAGTAATCCCCTAAGTTAACAAAATTGAGTTGTCAAAGTGCTATCAATGTTTCTGTTACCAACACATATCTTGCAAGTAGTTTTATTTACTTATGAAAATCAGATTTTTATTTATATTTGAACAATTTGTGTTTTAAGTATCTTCCTGAAAAGTTTTCCATATTCTTTGAAACCTTTAGTCCTAGAGACTACTCAAGGACCATCTTTTTCTGAAATTTTTTTTTGTCAAAAAGAATACTTGAAGTATTTTTATTTCCTTTAGGCAATTCTTAGAAAGATGTGATTGAGCACAAAAACTATTTAATTTGAAATGATGTGGTTTTTTTACATTTATTTCAGAGAATTTAAGCACAATGCTATATACTTTCATGTTTAGCATAGAAATTTTGTTTTTACCTCACCAACTGATTCTTAAAACCTGTTTGAACTTATTGTAAAATACAAACTGCTATCAATTGTATGAAGAGATTATGAAGTAGGCATTCTTAATTTCTTATTACAGAGGAGTTGGCAATTATTTTCAGTAAAGGTTAAGTAGTAAATATTCTTTGTGCTTTGTAAGCCATGTGATCTGTCACACCTTACTAATTAGCTCTGCCATTGTAATGCAAAAGCAGCCTTAGAAAATATAAATGAACATGACTATTTCACTAATACTGTATTTCTATAAGAAGGCTGAAGACTGAAATGAACCGATTGGCATAGTTTTCTATTTTTAATTACTGAAGACTACATTGAATGGAAAAGATTTATGTAATAAGCATGGGCACTATCCTAAGAATTCTTAAAGAGCTCCCAAGCTGAATTCTACTTATATCAGTCTCTTCTGGATTCCTATTTCATACATTATTTTTGGTCAGCAAGCCAAAGTATCTTTGTAGAACATTTAAGAAATTCTTTTTGCTATTGAATTTCTTATTTTGTTAACCTCAGAATCATTCTCTTCATGATCATTTTTTTCATACTGTTTTCTAATATTTAAGAGTTTTGATGTGAAATGTATGAACAGATATTTTGAAGCAAGAAGTGTTGCAACAGATTTTTAACATTAACCTTTGTGAGTAGTTCTACCCCTAAAAAAAAGTTTAGAATGAATGATTAACTGCAAATTAAATCATTCTAACATCTTATAAACACTACACATTTTAGAAGTTTTCTTATTGTTGCATCTTCTAAACATTAAAATACAATCTCTTTGTACTGATTCCATGCACAAATTTAAAATCAATTGACTTTTCAAGCTTAACACAAGGTGACTGGCAGTCTATGGAGATATTTTCTCTTTCAGCATCCTCTGTAAAAACTCCAGAATTCTGATTGGCTAGATAAATGTGATTAATTTTTTTTGTTTTGTAATGCAACTATTTTGATGGTTGGCTTCACAGCTGAGGCGAGCCACCATTTCAAATCCAATAACAGGAGACTTGGAGACGGTACATTACAGAATTAGCAAAAGGTAAGAGATGTGTATGCTGCATATTTTGCCCGCTAATGAATGTTTTATACATCTACAGGAATTGTTTACGTAAGGGAAATAGGTCATTTTCAGTCTCCAGCTGAAATCATTGCCTTACCGATAACAGCTTTGTGTTTCACAGGTCTTTCTCTCTAACTAGAAGTTGTGGTTTGTTATTTTTAGGAAATTAATATGCTTTGCATCTCTCTTCAGGTCAGGAGTCAAATAGACAGGAAATGACTTGATAGTCCCTTCTCCCCCTTTTATCTTGCCAAAGTGGGGCAAGAAAAAAGAATTAGGCTGAATTAATCTGGGAGTCCTTATTTATGTAGTTCTCTTACACTCAAATAGTGTTGTGAATTTATCAATGCATTATTTTTATTGGTGGCTATATTGGTATTTGTTCATCTTGTGAAAATACTATTGTTACTTGGGGGTAATCTATATCCCTCCAGTTGAAATTTTTATTTAAAACACTTGCCACCTTAAAAGTTGGCAGTAGAGAGAAAAGTATGCTTCTGATTTCAGCCTTGCAACTGGCATTTCTTATAGTTGCCCAGATGTAACAGTTTTATCTTGGTGAGAGTTGTTTAAAAATGACTTGAAAGAGACTAGTCTTTTGTCATAATATTTAAAGAAAATTAAATTTCTAGATAGGAGAAAGCATCTGTGAAACCCATTGCTATAGATCATTTACATATAGTTTCAAATGACTTCTTTAAAAAAAGTGAAAGGACAATAAATCTACAGCAAAAATCTGTCAACCCATTTTCTTTGATTTGGAAGCGGCATTTCTTATTGCCACCTTTCTGAATGTTTTTGCTGATTTGAAACCATTACCCATGCTCTAGACCAATCTGAATTCTTCCAATCACCTGTGGCTTGGCAAAACAAAACAAATCCAAAATTGCCTGCTACGAGAATAAGTCCTTGTCCTTTCTCTTTTTTTTTTTTTTGTAGCTGAGCCGAGCTACAGTACATGACCCTGAGACTGGAAAATTGACCACAGCACAATACAGAGTATCTAAGAGGTAAGGGAGTATTACAGAGAACTTTAGTTATATGTGGATCGTTTTATTCCTTGAGATTTTATATCCATAACACCTAGGCCATTAATACTTGGTGACATCTATGCCTGTATTTTCACAATGAATTATATACAGACATGAGTAATTAGATTTCAAAATGCATGTGAAATTATTTTGTATATGCTTAAGTTATTAGATGATACATCAGTGAAATAATTTGTAGTAATAGATCACTAACATGTAGCTTAGAAGTAGAACATAGAGTGATATTGCAACAGAACTTTTCTACTTATATATGAAGGTTTGTTAGCTCATAAAATTATTTTATATTCATAATTATAAGTCCTATATTTGGGTTAATGTATTCTAATAATTATAATCACTCATTCCAGAGATCGTTATAAATATTTTTGTTGAATAGAAGGCTTATGCCACTCTAGAGCTGTGTTTCTTTCCTCAGCACTGTTGACATTTTGGATTACAGAATTCATTGTTGGTGGCTATTCTGAACTTTATAGGATGTTCAGCAGTATCTTTGGTACCTACTGATATATCGTGTCATCCTTAAGCGTGGTTATGACAATTAAAATTGTCCCTTTGAAAACCAGTATACTAAGTGATATAAAATCCAAGTTCTTATAGGGGAAAAATTTTCTAAGAATTAAACACTTCATAAAACATAAAATTTGACTTGTGTACTTTTTAAGGTAGTTAGTTATGCACATCAAATCTTTATCTAAGATTATTACTGCCAATCATACCCGAAGTACTTTTTGGGCTGTATGGCCTAACCTTCAACATCCCACAAATCCTGATTTCCTAACTTTTCTAAACTGTGCCACCAATCCCTTTGCTCCAATAGTACGTGAAGAAAATTATTTCCTATGATTTTAACTTACAGAACACTAATAGCTTGGTAAGGTAAATACTTCTGCATGTTATAATTCTAAGTTAATATCTTAAAATGGAAAATTAGCTTGTTTTTAAATCAGATTATTGCATGCTTTTAGACATTTATACTGTGTTAATCAGTATAAAAATTCTTTAGTATTTTGGAAATTTTGTATATCCAGTGCATCTTTATAATATGTACAAGGCTAAAAGACAAAGAACAAATATTGTTTTTAAACATTTGTACTTACTAAAAGATTTTAGTTTTGTAACTAAGAAGGCAATTATGCTACGTTTTTTCAGAAGGCACAGCCATACTTTATTACATATTGCATCAAAAAGCATTTACCCTTACCCACTCACATAGAAGACTGAACAAGAATGATCAGAATAAATTCATTCAGTCTTGGCAAAGTATGTAGTGTGTATGATTTTTTTTTTAAACTGTACCTTTTAAGGAAAATGTTCAACAACCTTGTTAGTATAGGCCCACAAGTGAAATGAGTGAGCAATTTCTTATACATTAGACATGCAAAATAAAAAATGATGTCAGTTAAAATAATCCATTTACTTTGGGGAACATCTGCAACATCTGCATTCAGGAAGTATCAGAAAGGAATTCCAAATACTGTATTTTGACAAATTTCTAAGTGATTGCATCATTTTTTGCAGAAGTAAGCATTTGCTCCAGCATTCCACCAAATAGTTTACTTTTGGAAAAAAAAAAACAAAAACTACGGCTTGTTAAATGGAGAAGCTAATAATTTTGTCCAGAACAGAGGAGTGAAATTTTAGTTGTTAAAGTAAATATTCAGTTAATATCTCATATCACTTTAACACTATTTAGTGTGGTAGAAAAGTGTTTGACTCGGGTAGGTTATACTTAGAAGCAAACAGGAGATACTGGTTGTGCCGGTTTTTAGTGATATCCTATAATTTATTATATTTGATCCATATTAACATGGAATAGATACAAGTATATTCTTAGGTGAACAAATGCAAATAACTTTGAATGATTTTAGATATTTAAAGAAATTGGCATTAACAACTTTACCTTCTATTAGGTTGAACTATGCTTCTTAGATTGAGATAATAGAAATGAACAGATCTATAGTATTATGCATAATTGTCCAAGTACTCAGAAGCTCTACTGAAAATTTTGTTCTTTGTGATATATTCTTAACTATGTAGCTTTTGCCAAAAAAATTCAGGTTTGCATTAATTGTTATTTCAGGAAGAATTCCAGTGATACTTTAAAATTTAAAGATATTTTTACACAGAAACTCATTAGAAAAGAAAAATGTTGAAGTACTACTCTGAAAGTACCTTAGCTTTCATATTACTGTCATTAAGACCAGAAGGACGATATATAAAATTGCCTAGTATGGAAGAAAAGTGTAATATGGTTGACATTTCTAATTAGTTGTACAAAAGTTAAACATTCAGTTTTCCTGTTAAAGTAAATTCTAACACTCCATTCTAACTATGGAAAATCTTTGTTTGATGACATAATGACTTACTTTAGGAATAAGCACTCTAGTGTTACAAAATTGTAAACCAGAGTTGATTTCAGACGTAGCAGTAATTGTTAGATCTACACTAAAATAGATTTAGCTTAAGGATGTCATTCAGGTGAAATATTTTAATGTGCAGTACTCCCAATTAAGGAGACTCATAGATAAGTTATATCTTGTTTACACGGTGATTATTGAGTTAGCTTTAACTGCTAACTCAAAACTTTTCATTGAAATCATTTATGATACCAAAAAGTAGAAATTTAAATAAAAACTGCACCTTTTTTTTGAAGGCAATTTGAACATGAAAGTTGTCCTGGCAGAGATATTCCTACAAATGTGCATAATAAACAAATTTTCTTTCCAGTTGTTTGTGAAAGAAAAATTTGAAATCCTATTAAACTAGGACTTTGTTGGTAAGCAATTCTAGTCAATTTGGAATTAAAGGTACTTTTTAAAATATAGCAGTTCCTCAGAAGGTTCAAGATAGAATTTCCAGATCATATACTGTGACCCTGATTATGCTAAGTAGCCAGTAACCAAGTTCAAGTATTGTGTGATTGTACTTATAGGCAGTACCTAGAATAGGAAAATTCGTACAAAAAGTGAACTAGAGGGGTAATTGTTTGAATATGGATTTCACTTTGGATGTTGAAAAGGTTTGGGAAATATACATCATTGTGAATTGTTCATTTACAATAGTTATTTCCATGTTATGTATTTTACAACTTAAATTTCAAGTAGGATAATGTATATACTTTTAAAAGTCCTGTGTATACATATGGTGAATAATGTTCAAAATACATACCTATGTTTTTAATAGTGTTTAATGCAAATATCGTTAAAACCCACTGTATTGAGATATACACATGCCATGCAATCAGTGGCTTTTCATATATTTAGTGTGTTTCTAGCACCACCATTCTATTTAGAAATTTTTATTATGTGCAAGAGAAATTTGTACTCCTTAATCTCTACAAATGGAATCCTATGTCCATGTTCTTCATTCCTTTTCATGAGTGAACAGTATTTCAATACACCAATATATATATTTTTCATTTGTTAGATATTTGGGTTATTTCTATTTTTGGCTACTATGAATAATATTGCTATGAACATTCATGTACAAGTTTTTTTTTTTTATGTGAACATAAGGTTAAGTTTATCCTGGCTAAATATGTAAATGTGGAATTGCTAGATCATACAGTAACTATGTTTAACCATTGAAGGAACTACCAAATTGACAACATTTTACATTCTGACTTCAATGTATGGTGTGGATTTTCTAGTTTCTCCACCTTATCACCAATACTTGTATGTATAAATTTTTTAACTTAGACATATCAATGGGTGTGAATAGTCTCATTGTATTCTGATTTGTATTTACTGGGTAGTTAATGATAATTAACAATCTTTTTTTCCCACTGCTGATTGGAGAACTGTATTCAAATCCTTTGCCAACATTAAAATTGTGTCTGTTTATTGAATTGTAATAGCTCTTTCTATACTTTAGCTGCACATTCTTTTCAGACTTGATCTGCATAAATTTGTTTTCACTTACAGTGGT